TATATATATACTTTATTATTGCTAGGTGGTTACCCTAGCTGTATATATATACTTTATTATTACTAGGTGGTTACCCTAGCTGTATATATATACTTTATTATTGCTAGGTGGTTACCTTAGCTGTATATATATACTTTATTGTTGCTAGGTGGTTACCCTAGCTGTATATATATACTTTATTATTGCTAGGTGGTTATCCTAGCTGTATATATATAATTTATTATTGCTAGGTGGTTATCCTAGCTGTATATATATAATTTATTATTGCTAGGTGGTTACCCTAGCTGTACATATATACTTTATTATTGCTAGGTGGTTACCCTAGCTGTATATATATATACTTTATTATTGCTCTGGTTGTTACCCTAGCTGTATATATAAACTTTATTATTGCTAGGTGGTTACCCTAGCTGTATATATATAATTTATTATTGCTAGGTGGTTACCTTAGCTGTATATATATACTTTATTGTTGCTCTGGTGGGTGAACAATGGAAAATATACAGGTATAATATAACAATATATTACATGGTTAATCAAATTATACATATATTCTTTTATTCCATGATACAGATTCAGAAATATGATCCTAAACAACTAATTAGTTTATGAAAGAATATTTGTCCCGTTTCTCGTACATGTTATTAAATTGTTGTAAAAAAATGATTCTCCCAAGAACACCTCTTGAATTATCCTGCCTGGTAAAATTTGCGCTCTTAAGTTTGTAATCATACACAGTAAAAACGTCCTATTGGTTTCAAATAAATCCTAAAATTTTCTCAGTAACACTGCAGTTTCAGTTCAACTACATTATCTAGCCAGTCTCTTGATACTAACAGTCGTCTTTTAGTTCCACAGTTTTATGTGTATATGGTTTAGGAAACCCGGAGATGAGCTGGATTTATGGTATCCAATCTTTACAACCATCAAGTTCCTTTTCTACTTTGGTTGGCTCAGGTAATATAAAAAAATTCAAGCCACAAACTCTACTTTTCTAATCACGATATCTTTGCAACCTGATTGTGTAAACATTTGGTTAGACTTAGACTATTTTATCTTACAGAATTTATTAATAGTTTGAAATATCTAAGGTTGCAAATCAATAAAATTAAACCTATAGAAATGAAAGATTGAATTGATAAACATAACATTGCGAAAAAATCTGCATTATGATGGAAGTTTTTATTTATTAAATCAGGGTTGCGGAGACCCTGTACAACCCTTTTGGTGAAGACGATGATGATTTTGAATTAAATGTTCTGGTTAATCGACATCTTAAAGGTGAGCTATTAATTTGTTTCTCTAAAATTTCATATACATGGTTTTATACTTTTAACCCTATCCCCGCTGGGGTACTTGAAAACCAGGATACGCTGGGGGGGGGGTCAATTTGACCCCCCCCCTCTAAATCCCATGTTTTATGTCCAAAAATGACAAATGATACATCATTAGAAAGCTCTTGTGCTCTACTTTTAGAATCTGCAAAAAAATTTGCAAATTTGCGAAAATTGATTTTTTTATCGCAAAATCCAGTTTTATAGTAAAAATGTTTGCAAAAAAAAATTTGTCCAAAAATGACAAATTATACATTTTTGAAAAGCCCTTGACCATGCCATTTCAAATATGCAAAAATTTTTGCAAAATTTTAAATAACCTGATTTTTAATCAAGAAAAACTAAAAATGTGCAAATTTCCTTTGACAGGTTGTTTGCAAAAAATTTGCAATTTTTTTTCGCAAAACTTGTGCAATCCGTTTCCTTATGTCATAGGCTTTCCAAAAAGCTAAATTTTATCAAAATCTGACAAGTGAAAGTGGGTCAAAACAAAGATTTAGTTTGCTACAGGCAAAAGCAGTCATTCAGGCAGTGTGCCTGAGGACTCAGGCAGTTAGTATCAAAGCCCGGTTTTAGGCCTAAAGGGAGGGTTTTGGGTATGTAAGAAAAGTCAGAAAATTTCAACAGCCTCAGACCAATACTTTTTGAGTTATGTAAAAAAAACTACAGGGGGGGGTCAAATTGACCCCCCCCCAGCGGGAATAGGGTTAATGATAAGTTGATAACACTTTTTATTTAGTTGCTCTGAATCTTGTGGATGATACTGAAGAACCTCCGGAGCTCTGCAAGGATGCATTCTGGGGCCAAACCTTTCCTAACATTCCGGACACGTACGCATTCATTTTAGAATAATGAGGGGGGGGGGTGAATAAATGACAAAAACCTTATTTTTTTTGTTTTTTTATTATTGAAATTTTCTCTGGTTAAAGATATTAACCAAAGCGGGTTTCTAAACAATTTTCCCAATTATTTTAAAATGTAATTTTGTTTAATATCTTTTGTTGCAGAAAAAAATGAGCTTAAAGTAACAAAAGCAAACTTGTGGAGCATACAATTTTGAAATAAATTAAACATCTCAGATACTCTTGGAGCTTACTAAAATTAAAAACCCTCAAGTTACAAAAATAGACCTCAAAACGATACCCATCGTTCTTTAAACCTTAATATGATGATTGTTGGCGTAGTACGCTATTTGATTGAAAATCTTAGTTTTACCTTGAATACTTCACGTTATGTAATCAGAGCTGAAAACTTTTGAATGGGATATCCTTAATCCTGATCGGATAATTAATCTGGAGATTAAAAAGAGAGGAGAACAAGCAATATTTAATCTGGAGATTAAGAAAAAGAGTGGATTAAGCCTTAATCCCGAAATCCACCATTCAAAAGTTCCCAGCTCTGATAGATCATATATTTAAATTTTAAAATATTAAAGGCTACAAATGTATATAATGCGTTTAAAGGGACTGTAGGTGCTATTTCATCTAACAAAGTTGCAGTACTGATTCACAACGGTACCCTTTAAACTTTTATCTAACCAAGGATGAATGATATATCCTTATACTCCTGGCTGAGATTAATTGTCTATAATTGTGGGTTCTATATAAAAGTAAATACTATGGTTATGCTTGTGAGAAAATGAAGGAACTTGAAAGATTTAACAGGTTTGAAATAGAAAAACAACAATATCTTCCCTATTGTTACTCAGATAAAGGTTTAAATGGAGGATCACATGAAATTACCTATACAGTCCCTTTTATCAGCAGTTATATTAATGAGACTGATTTAGTGTTGAGAAGACCTATACTATGGTTGATGATGAGAAAGCAGATGGGAAAAAATCTAAGATTGAAACGAATGAAATGCTAGTTATCTCGGAGCATGCTCCAGAGGAGCCACGAACAATGGCGGAGAGGAGGGATCCTATGTAGCACTTGATCTAATGATCTACGACCCTAAGGTCGAGACTTTTGTGTGATATAAAGCTTGTGTGCATCTCGATATCCACTGTGGCAACTGTTAAAGGAAATGAGTTTTTGCAACAATTCCCGATTTTCTAATCCGTATATTTTTAAAAACTTATTTATAGACATTTAATATTTCAAACTATAAATTCTGTTATCTCAATTAGGCTAAGTTTAAAATATAAAATGTTAAAACAATCAGGTTGCATAGATATAGAAATTAAAAATTGAAATTTGTGGCAAAAGCTCAGTTTCTTTGACGGGTAATTTCTTAAAATAATGCTTATTCTTAATGTGGAAATATGTTTACGAATAAATGAACGCTTGATGGAAATAAAGACAACATTTGTAAGAAAAGGAGAAAAAAAATTATTTATGTCAAAGCTTTTTTTTTAATTTTCCCAAAAGCTCTCATAATCATTTGAAAATAAAAAAATACCACCGTATGTTTTGTAATATAGGGTTACCACCAAAGGATGAGACTGTAAAGACGACCTAAAACTCTTAAAACTTGAAGATTTCAAGGTGATTGCCTTGAATATAATCTTTTTATGACTTATTTAATGACCAGGCAAAAACGGGAAAAAAAGAATCAAATTTACAGGCCGGATAAATTCTGTACAATCGTCTCTGAAGTCTTATCCTTTGTATATTCCCCGATATATGTTTGTATAAAATATATTGCTTTCTTTATTTTTCTATGCTTGAAATTATTTATATCGATGTTACAATTTATAATAAAAGAGAAAAACTCTAATTTATTTGAAATTTCAGTTTGATTTCAATATAAACAAATCAACGACGACAATCATACTAAAACAATGAAAAGTAAAAGTGATCATTATGATGATGATAATTGTGATAACTGATAATATCATCAAGAGTGATCATAATTCTCACAAAAAAATAATAATATTAATAAATGACCAAGCTAGCACCTACTGTCCGAACATTAAGATAAGATATACTGGGAAATCTCAGCTTGCAGTTCTAATTTAGGATTTAGTAAAAAATATAAAACAATCTAATTTTTTGTCGTCTACAGATTAAATCCAAAATAAACATTGAGCAAAAATTGTGCAAAAATTGTGCAAAATAAATAAAAAAAAATTAAAATGATTAAATTGGTCCAATTCTATCAGAAATATTGGGGACACCCCCCTCGAATAAAAATGTTGCTTTTTATATTTAAGTTTAGATGTATAGGCTAAAGGGCCGAGCGCTGCGGCTACTACCGATTATGGAAATTATGTAGATGAACATTTTTAGTTGCTACGGGGGGGG